AGAAATACAAGGTTTCAGAAAGTTTTGAAGTAGGCATCTGTATTATATCAAAAGAGCTCAGTCTTGAAATTTATCCAAAATCAAACAGTGGTAACTGCCACCCAACTGGATGAAATATAAATATAACCACTCACATCATTAAAAGTAGGTATAAATGACAAGGAAAATACAATGAAGGTAAGGATGGATGAACTTGAGAAAGATGAAACTCATGGTAATATACATGCATTGCAAGTTTTGAAAACTTTTTACCCAAAGTTTTCAAAAGTTTTTTTTTTTTTCTGCAGTTTGTAACATTTTATGGAATTTTTTAGGATCCATTTTTGTTGGACAAGAAGCTGTGATTTTGTTATTTACAAAATATTTCTTCAATAAAAGGAAGTGTACTGTAACTGGCAGTATTAACAAAATGAAATAGACATACTTGACAAGAAACTTCAACTTAAGTGCAATCAATCTGTCTGGCAATTTTGACCAAAAGAAAGACATGTAAAATGGGGGGTTTATCTTGGTATACACCCAAAATAAGTTTAAAATAGACAATGAATGTACAAATATCCACTTGCTGTATTAACAGGAAAATATGACTCCATAGACATACATTTTCGCCTTCTTGTTGCTGACGTTCAAGTTCCTTCAGACGAATACTTCGCGCCTCAGCTCTTGCTGCCCTTTTGGCTGCCAAGCGGGCCTCAGCCTTCAAATAAGAATACAAAAAAATATTCAGTGAAGGGTTAAAAAAAAACTTGAATTCCAGCTCGTCCTTTGGGCAAGCAGCTCTCCTCTTTCACCTATCTGGGGCCACTTCTTGCTCATCTTAGTTAATGATTTTTTTTAAAGATGACTTGCCTGGGCCCTTTAAACCCTAAGATCAAAATCTGAATTCCCATTTGCTACCCCAATTCATTTCCTACTGAAGTAGTGGGAAGAAGTTGATAAAATATCAAGCAAATTCATCTTGTGTGATCATGTCCGTAATTCTCATGACCACTCTGTTTTACAAAGCATTGATATTACAAGGAGAAATTTGATGCTGATCACTCTCCATGTCCTGGAATACAAGACAGAACTTTTTTGGAGTCCTGCAATGTCTTACTTGGGCTGCAAAGACACTGACAGACTAGTGAACCCTGGTTTTTTTTCAACAATACAAATATTGATATTTGAACAGAGATATCATGAAATCACAATACAATAAGATATGCAGCATCAACAAATCTGTGTAATCACTGATGGTCTATATTAAAATTCCTTGCCCAAGCCCTGTTTTTTAGCCCTTCTTAAGATTTATACATGAATGAAAAAAGTGAAAAAGCAAACGATCCATGCTTTGCATGCTTCCCACTTTGTCATTTTCATTTCAACAAAGAAATGCAAGTGCACTATTTGACACTTGTCAGCTGTTAAGTCTTGTGCCCCTTAACTTTGTGTATCTGTTAATTGGACACCCACCGAAAAACTATCCTTTGCCTGCGTGTCCGTATTAAATGTTGTGGTTAATTTTTTAGCTCAGGTAATTTTTATTTCTCCTTTGTTTCAACTTCATTAGCATACAATATCATACCCCAAAAAAGAAAAACAAAAATTACCTGAGATAAAAACTTAGCTACAAAGGGGTGTCCATATATAGTGAATATTCATAAAGTATTGTCCAAATATACTCCATGGCCAAGGCTAAACAGAAAATTAATGATTTATGCATGTTTTATTAAATTGCAGAGTCAGTCTTGGGTTTCAAATTAAAATATTTATGATATATTTAATATGTCTGGAGAATTTTTCCAGAACAGTTTTATAAACAGTTAGACAAGAAGGCATTAACCTTGCATGATGTAGAAAATTATACTTTACAGAAGGAAAAAGTTTCCATGTTTAATCACCAGCATTGAATGTACTTCTCATAATTTTTTGTGTGGTGCATGTAGTTTGCAGATATGTCAGTGTTCTGGTTGAAATACGGTATGGAATGAAATTTTAAATGTTGCCTTCTTTATAATTTAGTGCCATGATTATTGCAAAATTACATTTTAGGAGCAGTACAAGTGGTTTTAATTATATTCAAGAACAGCTGGAGTCTTTTATTAACAGTTGCGATAAACTAGCAAGAAATAACGAAAGTAGGGCGATTATAAATACGACGAAGAGGTACAACAGGGAGTAGTATCGTAAATAATAAACAATGTTTGTTAAGACATTCACACACGCCCTTGACGCACAGAGAGACGGCAAAAACTATGAATAAAGCTTAACAATACTAAAGAGAAAAACAAAATAACTATCCAGTTTAGCACGAATATTTTGTAAGTGTCTGGTTGGTTTGCAAATGAACTGAAATTAACAGCGGCAAATCGTGACTTTTGCTGTTGATTCAAACTTGTCATTGAAACTGACATCCGTACATGAAATGTACGTCAAGTCAGAATGTTATTTATTCAATTACAATAGAGGAGATGTTGCCCTATACAGAGCTAAAATAAACTAGATAGCCCGCCAACGTTGCATTTCTTCACTTCTAAAGTGAAATTTTATGACCGGTTTCTAGTGATGTGCAAAAGACGGTTGCACAAAATCAAATAATTGATTAATACATATAAAATGCCGCTTGAAAACATTAGCTTACCTCTCGTGCAATTTGATTCAGAGCCTGGTCTTCTGAAGAGGACGTGGTCCTAGTAAGCGGTCTTCGTCTGCCTCCGTGTGCTGAGCTCATGGTCAGAGATGAAGTCACACAAACACACACCTTCTACTCAAACGATTTTCGGGCAAATCAGTACGAGGTTTCAGCTAAATTATTCCTTTACATCTGTTGCCGCGAATTGAGCACAATACGTTCACGCGTCTAAATTTTTTCAACAGAGTAGCCCGTCGAGAGCCGTGTGGTTATCTGCTTTGCTTCGTTCAACACTCTTGGAATAATTTCAAAACCCAAAAGGTAATTTTCGCTTCGTAACACCAGTTTTCCGCCATGGTTGAACTCCGGTGGAATCTCCCGGATCAAAAGCAGCAGAAGACATGCGCTAGCATTGAGTAATGGGCCAATCCGCTGACCTTTACGTCACGAAAGGGCGTCCCCCAACTATTCACAAAAACATCCAAATTAAAATCAGGGTCCAAAATGCTTGACTGTTTTAATTTGGAAAGAAAATCAATCTTCAAGGTGCGATTTATTGGGGGGGGGGGGGGGGGGACAAACCCCGGGCCGGGGGGCCCCACCCCCCCCCCCGGTTATCGCACTTTTTTTTTAAGTTTTACCTTCATTTCTTTTTTGAACAATACCGCGCGGCGGCCCACACAAGCTCTAGCGATTTCTTTTTAAAGAAACACTAAGCTCGCCGAAAACCGTGAGTACCCTCTACCCCAGACTTTCTACAAAAGTCCTCGCTGACGCAAACTCGCTCACCAAGATGAACACCCGTACCACACAGTACACAAATCAAATAGTAAACAAAAAGTCATATAGGAACGTCTAGTAAGAAGGGAGGAAAAGGATATTGGTAGAGGGGGGGGTGTGGGGGGGGGGGGGGGGGGGGGGGGGGGGGTCAATCACGAGCGCCGAAGGCCCGAGCCCCTCCCCGTGCTACTGCACTGATCTTGAACAGTTTCCACTATTTCGCTTTTCGATCATAGTCGCGCGCTGGCCCAAGACTGTAATCGTCGTTTCGTTCATAAGGACAAGTACAGTCCGCGAAAGTCCGCGATGCCCTTAGTCCGCGACTTTTCCGAAAATGATAAATATTTCGTCGACAAAAAAAAAAAATACGTTGACAATTATTCAACGTATTTTTTTTCTCGACGAAATATTGTAAGATATCGTGATTTATTGATTAGCACTCTTTAGGGGGAGCCCCTGGCACTTTTTCATATCACAGAACGTGGAACTTTATCACCTGATTAAGATTCCGAAGAAGAATCGAAACTTGCGCGTGCTAAAAGTTTCAAGAGTTATAGAAATAAAAATACAGTGATTAGACGGAGAGAAAGTCAATACCAGGGTGGGTCAAGTTTCGTTAGGCACAAAAATGAAAGTGTAAATGTAGCAATTTCTTCTGTCAGTTTTGTGCTGGGAAAGTTTTATTGTTGTTGTTTTTGTCAAGTATTAAATTAGCCTCTCACACGGCAAACATTCGTATTCGTATTCGTAGCCTGCGTAACTAGTGGTTTTTAACCCTAAGCCCCAATATCCACATATAAATCGGCTCCAACTGATATCTATACATTACCTTGAAGAAACAGTTGAGAGAATTTGATAAAAGATCAAAGCATTTTCTCGGAGGTGCTGATCATTTTATTAAATCTCATAACCTTTTCTTTTGATAATGTATTGGTATTATTAGGAGAAAATTGATGTTGATCACTCTTGGGACTCAAAAGGTTAATTTGTCCCTGTTTCCGCCTCATTTTTGTGGACAATTAGCTTGAGGCAACGCCGCATGACGCAGAAACAAAAATAGATTGAAAAAAATTTTCATAGGAAGAGGGGCATGTATGTGGGATTCGCTCTCTTACCTCATTCTCTCTTGCTTGAGGACAACAGCGTCATTAAGTTTATCTTGTGAACATGAACTTTTTAGCTTAATATTTCTTCACTAAGACTTGACTTGAACACGTACACCACAATAAAAAACGCTAAAAGACTCGTAACACAATCGAAAATATTTTGTATATTTGAGACGCTTTAGAGTACAAACCAGTCATTTATATGTTTCCGAAGGTTAAAAACCCGCACGCGAACGTAAAAGGAAAGTTCTAGAGCGGGGCGGATAACCTTTATCCCCCCTGTTCTGGAGCGAGAGGGGAGTTAGTCCGGGGCGAGTCTCGTCCTACGGGTGTGTCCTGGCCCACGCCCTTTGCGCCAAATTCTCACGCCAGCGTTTCGCGCCTTTCAAAGCCTATTTTGAGAAAAAAGTCGACTGGGGTTTTGGTGTCTAGAGAAGTTTAGATTAATTACGTTCTCATCACAATTAGTGACAACAACTTGTAGAAATAGCGACTTATTAGACATGTTCATGAGGCGGCTCCTGTATCAAGTTGTAATCGGCGTAGATGACCCCAAGGATAAGAAATATTCTTCTTTGCATTTCTTTCTTCATTCCGCAGTTCCAATATATGACATTTCATATCATAAAAGTGATGAGTGTTTGTCCCATTCGCATATCAAGTATTTGAAGTCTCTCATCTCTACAAGCCTGAAGGTAGCTTCTTGCGCACCCGGTCTCATGGAAACTGAACAAGTGACAGGAAATTCGCATTTTGGAGTATACTGCCAACCTTTGACTATGGTTCGTTTTTATTTACGCCGTGTGGCATGAAATTTTTGCGGGTTCTAATTTTTGCGGTTTTTCCAGCGATCCGGAAAAATAGGTTCCGGCAAAAAAAAATTGCCAACGTAAGATTCTCTAACTTAAACTCGCTACACAATAATACAGCACTAAGAAATCGTTTCTGTTTAATCACAGCTTGTCTCTTTCATTCAGAAACAACGAAATACTGGTTTATTGCTTCAAAATATGTATCTCTATTGCACGTACTCAATAAAAACGAAAATATTTATATCAATACTGGGTACTGGGTACTTTGTGAAAATCGCAAAAATTAATTCTCGGCAGGAAAAACCAATCTGCCCTTATCGCAAAAACTTATTCCGCCAAAAATTTCGTGCCACACGGTAGTCTATAAGAGCAGTGACTAATAAAGGCACTCATGCAATAGGGTGCTGATCGGGGGCTGAAGATGAATGTTGAGTAAGGCTCTATTTTCGTTTCTCTTGGTAAATGTATTTCCGGGAGTAAGGCTAAAATCGTCGACACGTACCTAAGAGGGAATGTGCTAAAATTTAGCCTGAACACATGGTTAATATGCCCTGACAAAATCCCGTTTAGACGCATTCAAGGCTATTTTGGACGGAAACGGAAGCGGAAGTTTGAAGTTGGACTTAGCGATGGGCAAATTTGGGCAAGTTTCCTCACAAATGATGTGTTAAAATTTCTCTCCCAATCATCGCATAACTCTCAAACTTGGGCTTCTTGGAAATTAGTTGCGAATTGTCTTTTTCACATTCCTTTTCACAGGAGTCTCTTAAAAGTTTATGAAAAGTCATGGTGTTAAGACTTACGTGACGCCTTCTTTGGCAGGACGCCAAGGTACAGCAGCTGCGAGTAAACTGGTGCGAGAAGAACAAAGATAGTTGTCTTGACAAATGCGAGGGTACTTGCCTTGGAAGCCGCCGGATAACTTGGAATTAACATGTAGATGAAGAAAAACAAGGTAAAAAAGACTGTCATCTTTCGCTTTATTTAACAGATGAGTATATATCACGAGGTTTACATGTGATGATTGGCGGGTTTCGAACGAAATAGCGCGTGAACGGTCCAGTGAATAGCTATATTTCATCCTGTCAAATGCTTATTTAGCCCGCCATTTTTGGGTTAGATTGGTCTAGCCTTGTTAATTATGTTATCTGTGAGCAGTCCGTATAATTTCAAGCATAAATAGCTTGCACAGGTCCAAAAACAAGCCCTTCAGGTTGGCTTCTTATACTTGTTGTGAAACAATGTCTCAAGGACAATTCCTCTAGCTGTCGACGCTTATTTGTTTTCGAGTTAAGCCTACGTTTTCCTTGTGAATGTTTACTGAACGAACGATGCCAATATTGAAAATCCCTTTCAAAGATATGATGGCAATATAAATTATGGCTTATACCTCTGCTGATGAACTTATATGTTCATATCCTATCATTCTTTTACAGGATCGGGCAAAATAAAGTGTGCGCCTTCGGTCTGTTTCTGCGCCTTCTTGCGTGGGTTTCGACTGCGTTGGCGGAACTTTAGCTTCTTTCTTTGTTTATATCGGCCAGAAGACGTGGACTCAAGAATCTTTCAAAAGTAAGCTTTTATTTTAAGTAATCTCGAATGTATTTAACTCGTGAGACATTAATTACTGCAAAAAATAGGAACAACGGTGCTTGTTTACTTAATGTGACTCGAATAACATTAGTTTTAAAAAATGCCCGGAATATTTACGTTACAGAAAATGTTAATTATTTTGAAGACGATTTTCTAAAGTTTTGAGCTCCTTTTTGATAGAGGGTTTAATTTTTAACTCATCACACATTTGTGATAATATTGGCTTTGTTCGTTTTTATTTGTAAGGGTTGGCATGTTTGTAAATGTCAGTTAAGGGGAAAACCCCAGGGTTTTGATCTTATGTTGTTATGCATTAAAAAGTAAAAATGTATTCGAATCAGCTTTGATGGAGATTTGTTTCAGTTCTAGAAAGAAGTAATATAATAACATGTAACTCTAAACAAAACTTTTTGCATGACTGAAACTTGGGAAACTAATTTTTAACTTGCCTTTTCTTGCTTAACATTTTAGGTTTCAATTTCTTGGGGGAAAAATGCTGTATTTCAATTTCAGTTTCACCTTGGGCCCTACTACCAATAAGTAAGGCCCTGTTAGGGGAAAATCGCAAAAAGTGACATGGCCTTAAAACATAAGACAGCTGAAATGGCAACAATTAATGACAAAAAAAAGGTTTTAGACAGTGACAGTGAAAATGAAGAGTGCATATACATGTACAATATTGATACACCAAAAGGGAATAGCTTCTGTCTCAATATGTGAAACAGTGGGTTTTGAAATTCAGACAATATACTCCCCCCCCCCCCAAAAAAAAAAAATTTGCTTATGCATTGTTTTCAATTCCTCTTGGGACGGCTTTTATACCAGGAGAAATATTAAAAAAAAAGGTTTAGAAAAATGTTAAGGGGAAAAAAAATATTGCTATTGGAGTGTGAGAAATGGGAAATAAAAGAATAAAAAAAAAAAAGAAGAAAAAGAAAAAAATAAAAAAAAAAAAAAAGTTTTTGAAAGAGACAAGGAAAAAGAAAAGTGCAAATACAAGTTAAAAATTTAAAAACCCAAAAGGAAAAGCCTCTTTTTCAAAATTTGAAAAAAAGGGGTTTTAAAATCAAAAAAATTTCCCCCCCCCCCCCCCCAAAAAAAAAAAAAAAATTTGCTTATGCATTGTTTTCAGTTCCTCTTGGGACGGCTGTAATACCAGGAGAAATATGAAAAACAAAGGTTATGCAAAATGTTGAGGGGAAAATAAATTGCGCTATTGGAGATGTGCAACTGGCATATTAAGGGGGCCTCATAAGTCTTTCATTGGTCCATACAGGTTGATGCATTTAGTGTCAGGAAACCCACATTTTATACAAATTTTAGGTGTAACTATGCATGCAATGAAGCAAAACACTTAACTCTTTAAGTCCCAATAGTGACCAACATCAATTTTCTCCTAACAATATCCATACAATGTCAAGAGATTAGGCTATGAGAATTAATTTAATGATCACCAGAGAGAAAATGCTTTGATCTTTTCTCAAATTCTCTCAACTTATTCTTTAAAGAAATGTATAGAGTTCAGTTTGGAGAATTTGCTTGTGGATATTGGGGCTTAAAGAGTTAAGAGTTCAAAAAAAAATTCCATGCAGTATACAGCAAGCCTGCAGTCTGTTTGTAATACTGACCAATTGCATTTGCCCATGCCATGGGATTGCATTTCTTCCTTTTTTTCAGATGTCTTCTTTAAGTTTACCATGTTTAAATGAGCAGTTGGCCAAGAGTATCCCTTCAACAAAATATAAACCTCAAGTAAAACATAAAAAGCTTGCAATGGTAAGTGAACCATTGCTTCCAGTGGAAGATTCAGATCAACAGGAAATCAGAACAAGGGATTTAGAACAGTGTGATCTTGTTCTGGATAAGGCTGTTGAAGCTGATTCTCAGTTGATTGTCGAGGAGGAGATGGACCCAAGGTCATCATCGCTGGAGTACTGCTTTCTTTGCTCACAAAGTGGACCAGTGATTAAGGAAGAGGTTTGCCATAAACAAAAGTTGAAAAGGCAAACCATATCTCAAAGTCTGCTAGTTTTAAAGTCTTCAGGATCAAAGAGTGCAAGCACACCTCATTTACATGTTAATTTGTGTGACAATTTGATGGGAAGAAGGAGCACTTCAGCTTCTGTTTTAAGCAGTGCTACATTTAAAGTTCAGCAGCCTAGGCAAAATACTGTCAAAGGTCAAAGCATTTCTTCATCACTAAGTAAAGTTACTGAAATGAATGACAGTTGTGGGCTGATGTGTCGCATATGTCATGGTGACGGTGAGGAAGAAGAACTTATCAGGCCTTGCCGATGTACTGGAACAGTGAAGCACGCCCATCAAAGCTGTATATTACGCTGGGTTTCTAAATCTGGAAATCAAACCTGTGAGCTGTGTAATTTTAAATTTAAAACACGAAAAGAGAGTGTCAAGTGCTTCTGGAAGGTTGGTTATTTACGAACTCTTTTTACTAATATAAAGCCCGGTTTACACATGTTGGGAAAATCCCAGATGAACAGGGATTTTACTCTTACCCAATCATCCCAGATTTTGCTGACTAATGAAAACTTGAAGTTTTTCCCAGCATATACTAATCATGCTTAAATTACTCATAGTTAGGGTGTTAGTTGTTAGGGTTCTGTAGAACCTCAATGCTCCAGGTCTTTTTGTTTTGTCTTCAGATCTTGAGGTTGGGTTTCTGTCCTTGGTCATAACATCATTTCCTATTTAGGAAGAGGAAAATTGGGTCAGCACTGTTTCTCTCTCCATAGGTAATATGACAAAGTGCTGGGGATAACCATGGCCCTTATGGGTCTTGCACTGCATCAGTGGGGAAGTTAGGGACAGTGTTTTTCATTGACTAAAATGTGCACAAGTGTCCCCAACTAATTGGAGAAATTCCTAGGTCAAATTGGAATTTGGGATTTTGAGGGGAGGAGATAACCAGAGTACCAGTGGATAAAACCCATGGGAGCAAACAAAATAACCACCAACAAACTCAACTTACATAGGGTGGGGACTCAAACCCAGGTCACATGCAAAATTAGGAAGGAAACACATTCTACCAGTTCTGGGGTATGGCTTATATATCACCCAGGTAATGGCAGCCATTTTGGGTGGGGATGGTAATCGTAAGTGAGACCTTTTGCCTAGTGGGGCTATGCCATGCTGATGAGTCGTAATCAAGATGAAACAGCTGTCAATGGCTGCCACTACCTGAATGATAAATGGCTGTTTGCATACATGGGTCCTTGCTGAATTTTAAGTGGTCTCAGTTCTGGGTTATCCTTGTACCCCCTAATTCTGAAGAGAAACTACTGCTTGCTGGTCAACCAGGATAGCATGTATACTTTGTAAGTGCTTGCTCTTATAATACGGCTGAATCTGCGAGGGGGCAAGTTGAAGCAAATTCTGCATTCTGATTGGCTAGCTGATGGGCAAGATTGGCCCATCCTGCTCGCTCAGGATTTCCCGCATTGGTCCTACAAGAAAAATTCTGTTTTTCGCCATATAATAAACCCTTTATTGACCAAGCTTGTTGGGTCAAGATGGCTGAATATGGGCCATTATAATTTTATTATCCAGCCATCTGGACCTCATGCTTGGTCAATAACGCATATTTATAACCTCCTGATTATATATCTCTCTAGTGGAGATTTCCAGAAGTAAGCACCAAAGGATGGCTGCACATTGGCCTCTTTATTGCCTTTGCAACAATGCTGCTTACTTCCATTACTTGGATCATTTGGTCTCGTGTCAGCAGAACCCCATCGGCCATTGCAGAACGGACTACGGAGGAGGTCAAGTTTGCATATATGGTGAATGGCTTATTCATTGCTCTGGCTGTAGGTGGCTTGTATTTTGACAGCTTGAAACATTTTAAACAGTACTCAAAACGCTGGACAGCCCTGAATCGCAATGTGGTTGTGGAATGTTACACTCTAGAACAAAACAGCATGGCCGGCATGAGGTCGCAACACAGTACTTGCACTCCAAGTCAACTCCCTACACCAGACATGGCAGCTGAAGAAACTCAAGCTGCACAAGAGAGTTCTCACGGACAAGAACGTGCAGACTGGGTCTAAAAGAAATGTGGATTGTAAATCAGGATGGTTTATGCAGTCTGAAAAAAGAAGAGCCTTTCAGAAGTGAACTAGAACTGTTGAAGGTGCATTTACCTTAATGCTCAAAATGCGCACATGGGCCTTTGGAGGGTTGTTCAATGTGAGTGAACGGGAGCCAAGTGAAGATGACTGGCCTCTCGAAGGGTTCTTTAAAGTTTCACAGATACTGGCGGAAT